TTTGATATACTATGAAATATGATCATGTTTTATTTCCCTATCAGTATAATGATTTCGACTATTATTAGTACTAGCCAGACCCTCTCCTATAATGGCAGATAATCAGTTACTGCCACATTTCAGCACCTGCCTCATTGGTGATGGAGCCTTACTTACCTCTTACTCTGTTTATATTCTCCCTCTTCCTTTATTCTTCCTTCCCATACACTTCATCACCTTGATTGAGCCCCAACAACATACCTGTCTCGTGCTTCCTCTACTCTCCATAAGCACAAGCCCATAACAGGCGGTTCATCACAGCACCTACCAGCAGACCCGACATCTGCGCCTAGTATGGATCTGTCCACTAGTAGCAAGCGTCGGTCGCCCTATCATCTGCGACCGTCTAAGTCCGAGGAGGATGAGATGGAGCTGGGAGTACCTGACAGACCCTATAAATGGGAGAAAGAAGCAGCCAGGGCAACAATTACTGAGCCGAGACCCGGTAAACCGCATGGTCCTAGCCTGCCCCTTGGGGAGCAACCGCTGAACGTTTCATTACGAGAGCTATCGGGCTGGAATTCGGCTTCGAAAATTGGGAGCCAGTACGGCCATTTCCTTACCACCAAGATCCTCTGGAAGTATTCCCAGGTTAAAGACCTGGCAAACATGAATACTGCTGTCTGCGAGGCTCTCGATCTCCCCAATTGGGCAAAAGCGACGGCTCAAGAGTATGTCTCCGGTTATGGAGATTGGAGTCAGTTTATCGATCACATCGCCAAATACCCGATCGCAAAGCCTGGAAACCCCATTCTCATTGGAGCATTCTCGAGTATTCGAGACCAGCAGTCTCGAATAGAAGGAGCTTGTGTTGAGTTGTTTGGAGACAGACCACCCTCCCCGATTGCCAAAAAGCGCAGAAGACTCACCAACACGTCTTCCCCCGGCCAGCTCATGACGAGCGGCACTACAACCCCCTTTACCGCGGAAAAACTCGAGCGTGTCACAAGGAGATTACAAAACCTGACTCTAGAGAGCCGGGAAACGGACAATACTGGAGGTTTCACGGCGCTGGTGACTTCCATTAGAATAAAGAAGCCGTTTGGCAACTCCGAAGCAAAGAAGCGAACGCACGAGGCCAAGATCAATATGAGCTTCGTCAATTTGCTCTACACAATCTGCTTATTACTGCCGACCGAGTTAAAGTGGGACAGTCTCCAGCATCATCTCAATTTGCATATCGGTGAGGCTGAATACAAAGCAATTGTCGACGGTGGTCTAGTAGATCCCGATGGGGAAATGCAGGTCTTACTTGAAGTCAAGGCTATGCATCTGTCATCGAGTTCGGTAAAGGAAGTTTTGATGCAACAGGGACTTGAAATGCTAGCCTGGATTACTACAACGCTTGGTATTCAAGGGCCAAAGGGACCGAGGGTTCAAATAATCCATTCACCGATCAGAAGGTAGGTTTGATCATGATCACTCTACCAATACTTAAGAAACATCACTAAACAGTTGCCTATAGATGGGTGATGTTAGCGCAATATGCTACACAGATATATTTTATTGTCGCTGAGCTGCATGAAGAGTACATCGAGTACTTGGTTATAGGCACACGCTCTGGAAACCCCCTCGATAGCAAAACACATCTCACAATGCAGTTACTGGGACCCTTCAGCATTTATTCTGCCGAAGAGATGCGGGCCTTTGGTTTTCTTGTTGTCGCGCTTACCATTGTCCAGCACCGGGATTGGAAGAAGAGCAAGGAGGATTAGATAGGAAATGAAAGATATATTCTTCCTGGCATAGAATCCCGGACCTTGAAATCAAAGATAACTATTCCCGGAGACCATTAAGTCTTCAAACTTGTGACCATGGCACACCTCCCTTTAGGCGGGCTATTATCAGCACGGCACAAACTGGCACAAACTGGCAGTTACTCAGCTTCCACAAAGAAATTATAAAGTTATATGCTGACCCGGGAAACTGGTCCGTAAATCTCGCCCACCATCTACCTGGGCGGTTTATAGGCAATTTATCCTCTATACCACTTTATCTTTTTCAGCTAAACTACCGATTTTCTTTGATGCAGTTACTGGTACAAAATCAGCCAAGCAAGATCATCCTAGCAAATCAATTGCCACAAATTCTTGGAAAATTTGCTACGGTGTTTCCTTGTGGAATAGGCCATGCCCATTTTAGAAGCAGGTTCAACTTCTCCAGAAAGTCTTTTCTGTCAACCATATCAAAGTATTTTTCCCCGTAAGCAGGCACGGCAATCATATGTCCTAGATCTAGGAGCTCCGAGAATTGAACATGAAGCTTGCCATCAAAATAGGATTGGAACATACGGCATCCACCAAATTTGTCCATCAGAAATACTAAATTCTGATGATATGTTAGTAAAAGACTAATGATACCCAAGAAGGAAAGACAAACCGGAAAAGTGAAATAGCACTCGTCCGACCGATGTTCATTCGACCGACTATCATCTGGCCGATTCTTATACGACCTTTCCCGATCAACCTCGGTCATTTCTCGGTGGGTTAATGCGGCGATCGCAAAGAGCTCCATTGAGGAAGGCCGTTTATCACCACATTTCTCCTGGTTGCAGAACCCGACTAGTGAGCGCTGGTGGCCCTTGTGCTCATGGCAGCTCAGGGAATCCAGAGGAAATTCTAGCTTCTCGGTATTGGTACATTCAAAGTCGCGAAACTCTCGGCAGACTGAGAGTAGTGCACCTCCAAGAAGAAAATGCGTGTCACTAGAGTGCAAGTTAGCATTTGAGAGATATAAGATACGTCATCCACTAACCGGTCTACTACCCATCCGCCATTGGGAATTCTAGAAGACTTTTAGTAACAAGTTTATGAAGGTCAAGACGTATACAAACCCTTCGTGGTGAAATTCCTTGAATGATAAACCACTCCCTGTGAAGGTAAAATAGTTATATTGATCGGTCATCATATCTGGAAACATGACCATCTCAAATGACTCAAGAATCCATGGGCTGTGGCGAGGACCTGGCACTTCAGAGCAGCTTGCAGCCTTTAGGAAGGGTGAAGCTGCTAGATCTGAATCGAGAACATCTCGAAAATCAACCCGAGGTAGGAAGTAGCTTGTAACCGATGGCGAAGAAATTGTACCAGTGCGGATATCAAACTGATGAAAATCGACTCCGAGGTCTGAAAGCTGCTCGTCTGTCATAGGAAACTTCCTATTCTCGCTAAGCGTATTGTAGATCCGTTCCATTGTTAGAATCTGGTTTTCAGCATAGTTAGGTCTTAGAGTGTAAGAAAAGAAGAGAGGAGAGAGGAGTGTAAGAATAACGATTAACACAGTATGTTTGCCGGCCGCCTTCGAAAAAGGTCATGTGAAATTCGGCTATGCAATCACATTTTCCTGATCCATTTTTTCTGAAAAGTTCAACTGGTATTGATGACGTTTTGGCCTAGAAGGAATAATCAAAGACCATGTATAGTAGGTTACTCCGGGGCTGCGTTAAATGATTACCAAATCCACTTAAAAAGGTATCGGAGCTATATAGACTTCCGCAAAGCCCAACTTTGGGCCTAAGGTCCGGGCTCAAAACTCGACCCGCAACGAGCTACCTTTATAGCCCTAAATAAGAGTATTACCAATATATAGGTTATATAAAAATCAGGCTTATAAAAGAAATGTATGTCTAGAGAATAGATCGCTTTAGTGTATTTAATTTAATGGGGTTTTGATTGAGTTATATGTATTTGAAATTAGTAGGTTTGGTTAGGTGGCTGGCTGGCTCGCTTGGGTGGTCGGCTCGCTTGTGAAATACGTTAGTAAAATCTTCCCTATATCATAATTTTAAAAGGGGTTTTCGGAATATAGGTATACTCTGTAGTAGTGCTTATTGACGGCTGTCAGTAAAGCTGTCATACTGGTAGAATCTTCCTGCTGTCAGTATTTTATGTCTCTAGGGCTGTCTATAAACTATTATACCTATATCATAATATCACGTTGGTAGAATCTTCCTGCTGTCAGCATTTTATGCCTGTCTGTATACTATCATACCTGTCAATGACTTTTTATGTTCATATTATAACACTATTGAATCTCTAATATATGTAGGGGATTGGTGTACCACCCCTGTAATCCAATCTCTGCCTCAAATTTCAGTACTGCCTGCCTGATTAGGTTAGGTCAGTATTTCTGCAGTGTTGCTGCTACTAGTATATAAATTTTGGTCTATATAGTAAAAAACTTCATTTTGATCAGAAAAACCTGTATATCTTGCTTGGATTGAGGCTTAGTGATGTAAAGTGAGGTATGATAGGAGTAACTTAATTTTGTAAGGGGTTTATGTAGAAATTGGAAGTACCTACTGTCTCGCTACTATTGTACAGGTAGTTTAACACCCAGGCAGTGTACAAAATTAGAGGACAGTCAGGGCAACGGTAGGTAGAAGTAGATATCTAGCACAGTGCTAGATCTGGAAGGTAGTACAGAAATTACAGGCTGAGGCTGGATTACAGGGCAACCTGCGCTATATAGTATCTATCTCTCCCATATGATCTCTGTCGTTATCCTAGCCACATTTATCGCCCTTTCATCACAACATTTCTGACGGCCGTCAGAAATGTTATGTAATCTGTACACCTGGGCACTAGTTACCTCACACCATCTAATCTAATCTTATGCTCCCCTGTATTCCCAGGGTTACCCCACACAATTATCTGTCGATCTGCCGATCTCACCAAACGCTCCCACAATAATGATTACACCTATCCTCACCACTCACACACTCCAATATCCCCTCAACCCTGTCTATTCAAAATTTAAGGTTTGGGTATAAATACGGCTGCCGCCCCCTTTTAATTCTTCTTCTTCTTTTTCCCCTCCAGTCTTCATTGCATTAACTCTTTTCACATTCAAGTCATTTTCGCCGGCCGTGAGATTTTTCGCATCCACCATTGACCTTCACCACAAGACATTTTGACGCCCGTCAGATTTTCTCCTTTTTATGCTGTGTCTACTCTCACATTATGGCGTCTCACTCTAAGGGACTAGCTCGAGCTAGCCGCACTCATCCCCTCGAAGGATTTCACAATATTTCCTTCACTAGCGCCTCTATGAAAGACCTGGATTCATCCGCCGCTCGACTTGCAGGATGCCTTGGCTTCCAGACTACTGCGTCTCTTCACGCACTATTTTCGAACACCAATGCTCCCACAAAGCGCGTGATCTCTGATTACATTGCCGACCGCCAGGGTGGGTTTGGAGCTCCTCCTGAATTCCCTAACAAATTCCGTTCTATCAAAGCCCCCACCGTGATTGAAGCCGTGGAGCATGCTGGTCACTACACCCAGCTTCTACTTGATGATAAACCCCCTGCACTTGCCTCTCCTAATGTGACTGAATCAAATCTTTTTGATGTTCGCCAGATGTGGTGAAACCGCAAGTACATGCTCACCCGCATCAATGATCTTGCGGTGAATTCCCAACTTCGTGTTGCGCCATTCTCTTTTGACGCCTTGGAGACATTCCTTGCCTGGAAGGTTCTCATCTTTTTCTACACCTCTGTCCACCGCCGCAAGGACTCTGCGCCCACGAATTGGCACAAAGTTCCCGCCATCGCTCCTACCCACATTAATTCGAAGGGTAAAGCGGCCACTACCTCAATCTCGGTGCCCACTAGTCGTGTCTCTCAGCTGGAGAATGCCCTTGCTCGGTTTGACAACGCTATAGCCGAGGCTGCCCAAGATGACCCAGCCCAGCTCAACGCCGCTCTACCTGATGTGATCTCTGATAGTGCCTATAAGACCCTTGTCGTTGGGCTTGGCACTGCTCTTGACCGACCTACCACTGCTCGTCTGAATCGGCCCGCCCTCTCCCACACCGACCTTGGTTATCTTCATGGCTCTCTTTGCAATGAGAGATTCCTGACAAACTCCCTGTTGCAATATCATCCCCCCATCCCCCGGGGGGATGGTATGACACATGGCTACGCTACCAAGACGATCTCCGCCAGTGAAGCTCACAATACAGGGATTGAAGCCTCGGACCTCACGTCCAGTGATGACCTGCTCAGCGATGATCCGTCACGCGGTGATATATCAACCAAGCCTCCCGTTACGCCCGTTGACCCTCGTGAACAGCTGACTGTCTCAGCCATCCCGCCGTTATTTGACGCCGCCCTCGACGTGCTAAAACTCCCCCTTGCCACAGAAAGCCATGCCGAGCTTAACCCACCTAACTCGTTCGAGCTGCCCCCTACTTACCTCAAACCTTGGCAAGTAACCGCTCTCGGCTGGATGCATCTGCAGGAGGCTAGTCCCCTACACGGTGGTATCCTCGCCGACGCCTGTGGTCTCGGCAAGACCCTGACCGCGCTCTCCCTGATTTGGACCACGAACCAACTCCTCCCTGCGGTCGATGCCCCCCCTGGTACGTTCGCTCCCTCCCTCATATTAGTCCCCAATGCCCTGGTTGATACGTGGACATCTGAGATTGACCGGCACTTTGGTGATGCCTTGCAGCTTATCGTTTTCTTCGGCTCCACCACCCGTACCAGTGACCGTCGGCGGAAAAGCCAGATCGTCGGAACCCTCGAGGAGCTGCACAATCACCTTAACCAGCTACACTCCTCTGATTCGATCACCGGTCTTACGGTGGTGCTCTCCTCGTACCAGACTTGGGCGCGCCGAACCACCTATGAGGTCGACGCTGAAGGAGCACCGCTCTCCCATCCTCTGGTCTCTAGTCCCCCGTCCCGTCCAGCAATTTCCGGCCGTCAGATTTCTCATGCGGATATAGATGAGGATGAGGATCAACTCTCTGACCAGGAACAGGAAGCCATCGAAGAAGCTGTCGATGAAGCCGTCGATGAGACGATGGACGACGCTACCCACCTCTCTGACCTCGCAAGCTCCGGGCATAACGAGGATCCATTCGGCACTGCCCGCCGCGCGCTTGCTCAGCTTCAGGATGCTCAGTCGCCTGGCGAGGACCAGCCGCGTCGCGCCTCTCGTACTCGATATTTTGCCAACAGGGTCGAAACCACATTTGCCCGCATTATTTGTGACGAAGGCCATCGTGTGAAGACAATATCATCTCGCCAGCATCAATCCGTGGCGCACCTCCAGCGTAGCAGCACCTGGTTCCTGACAGCTACCCCGATGTGGAACAAGCCATTTGACTTCTGTGGCTATCTCTCCCTGCTCTGGAGCAACGACTTTATCCCGGAGCCGGAGTCTGTCGACCCGGAGCACCTGACGGATGTCGCTGAACCGGAGTCCGCCCTTCATGACTATACCACATGGTCTGCCGTCTCCCCGCTACCAGACACTGGTCGCCCTTACCATCTCCTGAGTCCAGTCCAGCTCCTCACGCTTGGCCGCGGCGGACATTTATCCACCGATGTTGGTTTCCATGTCTTGCCTGTTATCCTACGCCTGACATGCCTTGCTCGTGAGCCTGGTCACCTGATGGTCGGACATGGCAACGCCTCGGTCACTATCGGTGCGGACATCCCGCCGCTAGCCATCAGCACTGTGGAGCTTCGGTACACACGGACCGCCCAGCTAGACCATGACAAGAGCTACGGCACACTCGCCTCGACGCTACATGGCCCGCCAACAGAATCCGCCGCCTCTGGCCCCTCGCAGGATGGTCAGGCTGGATCGATCAACTGGGCTACGTACCGCCAGCTATGCCATATTGCTGTCTATCCGAAGATGGACCTCTTTCTGCGTAACTCTGCCCATAGTGTGCTTGCTGCCGAAATCACATCGTACGGTGACTGGGGAGATGATTGTGGCTTCGGACTCTTTTTTGCGCGTACCGTACAGGATCGCTCGGTCGACCTCCCTACCTCTCGGATGGCTGTTGCTCGGTATTTGGCATATGACTGCCCCCGCCTACGATTCCTCCTCCACCTCCTATGGACCGAGGGAACACTCGCAGAGAGCGGCAACCGACCTCGATTTCTTGTCTACTGCAACTGGCCCTGCACCCGCTGGCTGGTTGAGATGTTTCTTGCCGCGCTTGGAGTCGACTTTGTGGTTATTCGGGCAGGCATGTCTCTCGACGCCCGTACCACCGCCATCCAACGGTTCACCAACCTCGCTAGTACGACCACAGTCCTCCTTACCACATACAATTGTGGTGCTCTCGGACTAAACATGCATGCGCAATGTAGCCGTGTGGTATTGATGGAAGCACCCCAGAATTACAATAGCGTTTTCCAGACAGTCGGTCGTATCCACAGACTTGGGCAGACACACCCACAAAAAGCATGGCTGCTATTCCAAGACCATACAATACAGCGACTGATGGAGTACAACAGCACCCGTAAGATCCTCCCACAGATCGCGGCGCAGTTTCGGCCTTGGCTGCAAACTCAGATCCCCTCAGTCGCTGCCCACGCACCTGTGGCGCAGTCGGCCGCAATTCAGGCTGCCGCCGCCCAGTCGGCCGCCGCTAGGGTTGCTGGTAGGCTGTCCTCTCCTCTACCCGCCGCCCAGCCTAATATTACTCCGTCGGCATCCCCCACGCTCTCCAGCCAATACGATGACAACAGCTCTGACCCTCCCCCCAAGAAGCCTGTCAGTGACGTTCTTCACACCACGGCCGCTATAGACCGCGTCGATATGGACCGCATTGCCTATGGCCTGTTGGCAGAAATCCTTGGCATTGCTCCTGGTATGCCAAGCCGCCTTGACATGGGCGAACATCATGACCTTGGCTTGCTTGGAGAGACCGCCGGCGGAATTCAGTACTCCACTCGCGGGGCCCCGATGGCTGTAAACCCCGCTCATCGTACGCCACAGAAGCGTGCACCGTCACAGCCACAGCTCCATGGTGGCCGGCCCTCAAAGACGTCTCGCCAAGAGTAACTCCCTCCCCCCCCCCCCCCCCCCCNCCCCCCCCCCCCCCCCCAGCTGCATCATAGCGGAGCCCGAGATGATTTCTACGCCCGACCAGTCTAGCTTACTCCCTTTCTTGTTTTTGCTTTGCTTCTTTCTCTTGACCAACTGCCTTTGCCTGCCCCTCTGTTTTCTGACAGCCGTCATTAAATAGGTTGATGAGTGGCCTTTGTTTCTTCCTTAGGAGCACACAACTCCTACCCTCCTCGCTTGCTTTCTGATTTGCTTGAGAATTGTACATATGCCTAATGAGCTGGACAGCTGGCCTTCTTCCCCTACACGCTGTGATGTGGCAGGACCTTCCTTATGCTTCTCTGGCCGCTCTAATCATACTGGCATTTAATATAACCCGAGCTCTTGTAGGCTTATAGATTATTAATTACTGGTTGTTATAGTTTGGCTAGCCATAATTAAGATAGCTGCCGCCGCTACTGATAAAGCTAGGAGAGGTATAAATAGACCTTGCTAACCCCTATAGTACTAGATAGTCTTCCGCACGACCCAGTAAAACCCAGACCCAACCCAGACTGGGTTGGGTTTTAGGTCGAACCCTTCGACCCAGTAATAGGTCTGGGTCGGACTAGGTAACCTAGTACTAGGTCTAGGGCCCCAAACTAGGTTAGGCCTTGACAAGTCCCGCAGCACTAGGCCTTTGGTTCGTGTTCCAGCAAGTGGTATTATAAAATAAGGGGTCCAATCAATAGGGTTCAACTCTCTGTATTTCTATATCAGCTTCCTATACAATTTATATGGAGCCTCGATTATATAACATAAATTACAAAACAAGTGGGATTAATAAATCCTCTGGTATGCCGGTCTTCATACTAGACTGCGACATCGCCTGTCCATGGGCACCTAGGAGGTACCCAAGGCCCGTCCACGGTGGGCCTTAGGCTATTTGGATTTTTGAGTGCCTGTCCATAACGCCCAAGGCCTACAGGCATGCCTACAGCGGGCATGCCTATAATACCTACTACTGTATAAAGTCACCTAAAATAGATATATAACTCGCTGACTTTATATAATAAATAACTGTTATTTATACCTATTTTGCTAACTCTATATAAAATAGTAGTTTTAATCTATAATATCTATATATTTTACTAAAATATCTATATATATAAGAAACTAGTATATATATA